GGCTAATATCAGATTACTAGAGTTTTGCTGTAGTAATTATGTGGTATTCTGACAGAAAACAATCAATTGCATTTCTGAATATGCATTTCTGGATATTTTCCAGAAGTTTTTGTTCAACCATTCTGAAAAACATAATTATATTCATATAGCTGAATCCTCCATTTAAATTTGAAATACATTTTGAAATGCCACTTATTATTTATGAATTAAATTTTTTTTTTAAATAGCATACATATTGAGTGAAAAAAAATTATTTCTATTAATTTCCTGTTTATTGATAATTTATATATATATATATATATATATATAATTTATATTTATGAATTTGATAATTACTCTTTATTTCATTGCCCATTAAAATAAAATAAATATTGTCCATTAAAATAAATACAATTATTAATTACTATATAATATTACACAAATTAATTAAGATTCATAAAGTACTTTGTAAACAAAAATAGTAACTCTGCTTTTATTGTACAATTAGTTATTAATGAAATGCTTTAGTTCTATTATTGTTATTACATACTGGTAAAAAATGTATAGCCAGAATGCACTGTAACTCGCTTTGGATAAAAGCGTCTGCTAAATGCATAAATTATTAATTAATTATTATTATCAAAATACTAAGGGTCCTCAATAGAATCCAGCAGGTTCTGGTCTAGCTGTGTGCTGTTGGTCCGGATCTTCTGCTCAGTCTGGTGTGGTCGCGGTTTCTTCTGTGACAGTCTAATAAATGTGCCGCCTGTGAGAGCCGCATTAAAGCTGCCTCATATGCTTTGTGTTAGCCTGCTGCTGTGTTATCTGCGCTGTACTTTGCTATTTATCCTGCTGCCAGGGCTGACAGAGGCGCTATTATTCACCGGGCCCCAGCGCCGGGGCGACCCGCTAACGCGCGGCATACGGGGCTAATGCAATTTCCTCTCGGCCGCTTCTGATAAGTGTAGAAGCATCATTATAGAGTCAAACCGCTTGACATGCGCTTTGTTTAAGGAATTCACCGCCGGTAAAGACGACAAAGCAAATTGAAGTGATGAAATAATGAAGTATTGAGGTGATTTTTGAGGTTAAAGGGGTCATAAGACGTTGCTAAAAAGAACATTATTTTGTGTATTTGGTGTAATGCAATGTGTTTATGTATCTCTTTGGGTTTGAGACTTTAGTCTTTGCAACTTTAGGGATCTTATCTATGCACAATCAGCTTGTAACACTCCAAAGAGAAAGGAAAACTTGAAATCACATCATATGACCCCTTTAAAACTAGCAAGGCAGCAATAAAGGGCCATAAATATTTAGCTTACCATTAGAAGAACTGAAGCCAGCCCAGATGATATTTTGAACCTCCAGAGAAACAACTGGTTCCACTTTACTTCCTTATGGAACGTCATTGTCATTTACAAATATCCATTAAGCCAAAACTTAACTAACACATTTAAAAACATGTGCGTACCATAAAATAAAGCAAAAAAACACGAACTAAGAAAAAAAGAACACTCATTTTGCAGGTTAGCCAATCACTGTCTTAAATTAGTCTCCGATTGCTCGCCAAATGCTCCCTCTTTAACCCTTAAAGTGGCCTGACTAGACTTTGAACATTCAACTGTCTGCAACGGCGCCTCTTTCAAAAATATAAATTCAACATATGATAAAAAAGTAAAGAATGCAAAATTGTCTACACTACTTTCATGTAAACCTGTAGCTTTAAAGTTGTATAATTTTAATTCTGTGATATAGCTTATCGATATTCTATTGGTCACGTGACTTCGTGATACCATCTTTTATAAGATGGTTATTCCATATACGGTTTTTACATACGTAGCAAGTTTTCACAAAATAAAAAATAATAAAAACATTATTATTCCGCCAAACGATGTTGTTCCTCAGAAACCGTTGTAGTTGCAACAAAGTGGTTGCCGAGCAACACACAGATGCAAAGAGGTGTATGTTTGTGGAGTAATTTACAACAGCTTGGAACGCGGCTCAACCAATCAGAATCAAGGACCGGAACTCTCTGTTTTATAATTAGAATTTTGGAACACAGTGAAGTTCTTTAGATGAGCTTGCGATTTGTATGCATAGTATTTCACACTGTTAATAATAAAGCAAGCAAATCATGTTTTAATGATACACAATGACGTAAGATCAATGTACAATGTTTTTTATTTGATAAAGGCATACATTGAAGGTGAAACCAGTCTTTTGTAGGATTACTTAATATACACAATCTGTACATGTATTACTTCCAGAAACAAAAAGAACTACTGAATCAAACTGTAAAAACGAAGCGTTGTTAATAGCATTAAACATACTGTGAGTGT